CCCCTTTCACTCTCTCTGAAAAGCAATGGAAAAAAATATTCTCTGATGAGGATTAAAAAAAGAAAAGAAAAAGCAATAGTCAAAGATCTATCTCACACAGACGAAGGTGAATGCTGCAGCCCAAAGTAATGTCAACTGGTGGCATATGCCTCCTGGCAATGCCACAAGAGAATGCATTTGGGGGCTCCAAGGATAGTTCATGTGTGATGCCACTTTTGTGTTAGGTTTTAACTAAACTAAATGATGCTTGAGGATCATTGTGTGGTTCCTTGGCAAGCAGGGGTGTGGCTGTGACCCACCCTGTGGGGAAGGTCTGTGTAGGCCTGTATGCCAAGTCTGGAGGGTCCCCAAAGCTGCAGAGAAGCCATGGGCAAAAAGCGAAGTCCTGAAAGCTGCCAAGTGACTTCCCGTTCCGTAGTGATTGACCCACTAGGATCACCCAAATGTGCCTTTGTTTCCCTGCAGAGCCCACCCAAATTAAATGAGGTCATTTCAGATGCCAACAGGGAAAACTCAGCTGTCGAGTCCGGGTCTGAGTCTTCGTCCCAAGAGGCCACCCCTGAGAAAGGTATGTCGCAATCCTATTGCCTCGTAGGAGGGGGGTACCAAGTGATGGGACACTGTCCATCTGCACCCTGGCCTGGGAGGGATGTAGGACTAACTCAACACAGCAGTAATAATCTCATGAACCAGTCTCTGGGACAGAGCCAAAAAGCCATGGGCCCTGGTTTTCAGTGAGGTGAAAGGGGACATGTTCATCTAAAAACAGGCCCGTAGGGCTGTGTGGTGACTGGGAGGGAGGGGAGGTTGAGGTTGTTGTTGCCCTTTCCCTTCATGCCCTGAGGCAGCAGAGGTAGTTTCTCTCAATACCCTCTTCAAGGTCTGTCCCCGACTGAATGGGAAATGGGAGGTCTGGAGCCATGCCAGCAGCTCCCAGCTGGCTTCCCTACAGATCCCCAGGCTGAACTACTTGGCATGTTTCAGGGTCCACTCCACATCCCAGGATAGCCTGCCAGGGGTAGCTGGCACCCTTGAGGCCAAGCCAACCCTTTTGTCTCCTGTGAGGTACACTCCCCCCAATCAAGTAAATAGTCAATGTCGTTTAGCTAATAACATTGCAGAGTCCCTGGCTGAATCGGCAGCTGCCTACACCAAGGCAACAGCACGGAAGTGTTTGTTGGAAAAAGTGGAAGTCATCACCGGGGAGGAGGCAGAGAGCAACGTGTTACAGGTGAGATGGCCTCAGCCGGGCCTCTTCACTCTTAGTGGAAGTGTGAGGGCGCCTGTGGCTTCCTTGTGCATCTGAGGGTCCAGCCCCTAAGGGCTCAACCCACATTCTCCAAGCACATTTGAAAAGACACTTCCCTTGGAAGTGGCAGTCCTGAATCCCCACCTTTAGGATCTTGTTGGTGTGGCTTTTGTTGAAGTTTAACCAGCCCTAAGGTTTTTCTTATATTGCTTTGTTTTATAACAAAAGGATTCTGTTTTGAAACATTCTCATAGTTTAGGGAATGACAAGACTGTTGTGACTTCTCTTACTATCCAGAGTTACAGCTGTGGTTATTTTATCACACTGGCACCTAGTGTTGTTTTATTAAGAGGAAAAAAATCACAGATGCTGCCCAGACTTCACCCTACTCTTTCCCTGTCCACATCTTGCTCCCTCTCCTGGGGCAGCATGTCCAGGTCTGTGTGCTTTTTCACACTGTGTCTATAAACCACATATATATAGTAAAGGGGAGTTTTTAATGCAGGTTTTAGTGGTACTTGTTTCCCACTCAACATTGTTTTTTAATCTATCCATATTAAGAGATACTAACATGATGATCTGCAAACTTTTTCTGTAAGGGACCACTTACGGTCTCAATATTCTTTTTTTTTTTTTTTTAACAGCTTTATTGAGATATAGTGCACATAGTAAGAAATTTACCCTTTTAAAGCGTACAGTTTGGTGATTTTTAAGTATATTGTCGCAGATGGGCAATTGTCATTATTATCTAATTTAGAACATTTTTGTCCCCCCAAAAGAAACTTTGTGCCCATTAACAGTCACTCCTCGTCCCCCTCCCTAGCCCCTGGCAACCATGAATCTACTTCCTGTCTCTGTGGAATTGCCTGTTCTGGATATTTCATATAAATGAAAACACACTGTGTGGCCTTTTGTATTTGGCTGCTCTCACTGAGCATCATGGTCCATCTGTGTCAGTGCTTTGTTCCTTTTCATAGCTCAGGAATATTCCATTGTGTTGATGCACATTTGGGTCGTTTCCACTTTTTCGCTATTATAGAATTCTGCTGCCATGAACATTTGTGTACAAGTTCTTGTGTGAACACCTGTTTCATTCCTCTTGGGTGGATACTTAGAAGTGGCATTGTTGGGCCATATAGTCACCCCATGTTTAACATTCTTTTTTTCATGTTTTTATTGATTTTAGAGAGAGGAAGGGAGAGGGGGAAGGAGAGAGAGAAACATCGATGAGAGGGAGCCATGCCTCCTGCATGCCTCCTGCATGCCCCCTACTGGGGGGGGAGCCTGAAATCCGTGCATATGCGCTGACCTGATTAGAACTGACTTCTCAGTGCTTGAGAGGACATCAACCAACTGAGCCACACTGGCCAGGGCAGTGTTTTTATTTTGTTTTTTAAATCCTCACCCAAGGACATTTTTCACTTTTTTTTTTTTTTTTTTTTTGAGAGAGAGGGGGAAGGAAGAAAGAGAGAGAAACATCGATGTGAGAAAGAAACATCAATCGGTTGCCTCCCAGACATGCCCTGACTGGGATCAAACCTGCAGCCTAAGCATGTGCCCTGACCAGGAATCAGACCTGTGACCTTTTGGTATACAGGAAGATGCTCCAACCAACTGAGCCACACCGTCCAGGGCCACGTTTAACATTTTGAGGAACTGTTTTCCATAGAGTCCATCAGCAATGTGTAAGGCTTCCAGTTTCTCCATATCTTCTCCAGTACCTATTATTACCTTTTTGGTTGTAGTCATCGTAATGGGTGTGAGGTGGTAGTATCTCGTGGTTTTGATTTCTATTTCCTTAATTTTTTAAATATCCCTCGAAAAGTATAGAATCCACTTTAGTTTGAGGGCAGAATAGAAAACTGGCCGTATGTGGACCTGTAGTTTGCTAACCCTGGTAGTTCATGGGAGTTAGTTGGAGGCTCCCAGGGACCCCACCGCAGTGGCATCTACCCAGCCAGGGTCTCTGCTCACCCAGAGGGCTGCCTTGTGTTCCAGATCCAGTGTAAGCTGTTTGTCTTTGACAAGACTTCTCAGTCGTGGGTGGAGAGAGGCCGAGGGCTGCTCAGACTCAACGATATGGCATCAACTGATGATGGGACATTACAGTCTCGACTAGGTGAGCTGTGGTAGAGGGCTGTGGAGAGGGCCTGGATTGGTGCAGAGGTCCCAAGGCAGTAAAGGGCAAAGTCCCAATTCGGCCCCTTGACCCAAGAAGCAGGGGAGTGGGTCCCCATGGGAGAGCCCCAGGTACCAACACCCTGAAGCCTGACCTAGATGATCAGGGTGCCAGCCCATTCATGACTTTCCTCTTTCTGAGTGTGAAAGTAAGATAAAACTACTTAGCAATTTTTAAATGTATTTTCTGGTAATGAAAGTGCCTGTTTTATGGTAGGATGGAAAAAGAAAAAAATCAAACATCAACTGCAATCTCTTTATAAAGAGAGAAGTCTCTGCTAGTTACATGGGAGTCCACTCCTATTCTGTGGTTCTTTTTTAAGGAACTAGGGCAATTTAATATTCTGCTCTTTTCACTTGCTATTTTATGAACGTATTTCTGTGTCATTAAATTTTCCTTAAAAAGTGATTATTTGGGAAAATTAATATATTCTGTTGACAATGAATGCATATCACCATTTCCCTGTTGATGGACATGTAGTTTGTCCCTAATTTTTCCGAGTATCATAAATGGTGGCCCTGGGCTGCCTATACATGAATCTTACTCCCAGAAGTATACGATTGCGAAAACGGACGTGGGGAGGCGGTGCATATATACATATATATATACATATATATATAACGTGTTTGAAGAGAATTAGCATATCCATGCGTCTATATTGTGAAATGTGTATATTTACTTTTTTTTTTATCTTCCCAAACCAAAATTGTTCTCCTACCTTTACAGAAACAGCAATTCCCTACCCAGTAGTAGTTCATGTTGCATCCTTTCAGAATTGTCCCCAAGATTGGAACAGGGATGAAAAAGGCCCTTCTGTTTGAGCACCGCTCTTTTCCCCCCATGGATGTCCCCTCCATTCTTTTTCCATTTTTTCTTACGGAAATGTTTAGTGTATGTGGATGGAGAGAGCACAGTATTTCTAGCCCCACAGCTCATCACTCACCTCCTTAGCCAGCAGTTTAGTCGAACTTCGTTGCATTACACCCTCCTCTCCCTCATTGAGATCCATCCCAGACACCTTTTCTTTCACCCCGCACAGCCTTTAACCTTGTCACAGACCTTCTCTCCAAGCCTATCTGAACTGCTCCACTGCCTCAGAGGTGGGCACTTTGGGCTTGCAAGGCTGGGCTCAGAGGACACGGGGGAGATCTGGTCATTTGGTTCCCAGGACCCCACAGGCCTCCGCAAGTTAGCCCAAGCTGCTCCCCATCCTGTATGGCCATCTGTGGCCCAGGATGGGATGACATCTAATCCTCTCCAGGCCTGTTATGGGGAGAGCTTCACTGGCACACAGGGGTCACCCATGTCCATGGGTTCAGGGCATGGGCAGGATGGGTGGGCTCTGACAAATCGGGCAGGCTGACTGTGGCCTTGAGTCTCCAGTGGGTAGAATTGGGGGTGTCATGTACGTCGAGAGAGGGAAGGTCTATGCCCGGTTTTTCTCCACCATATGCTTCCCTCAGTTGGTCTTTATCTCCTTCCTGTTGGAAGCTCTGAGCATGGGCTGGCCTCAACACTTTTTCTTAAAAAAAAAACAGGGATTTGGCCTGTATGGGACAGTGAGGGGGTGTCCACTTCCATGTGACGTGTGTCGCATAAAGTGAGTGTCCCCAGTGTGCAGCCCACGAATGTCCGTCTGGCCCCACTTCCCTGCCGATCTCCTCCTGCTTCTGCCTAATCACCCCCTTTTTTAAGGGAGCCGCCATCCTGGCACATGCTATGTAGTCCAACAAAACCCTGTTACATGTGGCCTTTGACCCTGCCAGTGACATTGGTGGTTCTGGGTCTAGGAAGCCAGGTGGTAGTGCCCGGCCAGCCCCAGCATGCGGGTGGCTGTTGCTCAGTGGACAGGTGGGCGGCTTTCACAGACCTTGGGAGAATAAGATTTCGCCATTGGGGTTTGCTTTCCTTCCATATTGTGTCTGTTCTAGCTGGCTGTTGGGCTGGGGGTGGGGACCAGGGCTGAGAGGCCTTGTTGGTTGCAGTGATGCGGACCCAGGGGAGCCTGCGGCTGATCCTCAACACCAAGCTATGGGCCCAGATGCAGATTGACAAGGCCAGTGAGAAGAGCATTCGAATCACGGCCATGGATACAGAGGACCAGGGCGTGAAGGTCTTCCTGATCTCGGTGAGCAGCCCCAGGGACAGGCTGGGCTGCCCGAACAGCCCAGCCCCCACCCCGACCAGGGCAATGACCCTGACCTGCCACAGGAGGGAAGCTTCTTGGGACATGCAGTTGGTCACCACATGGCTAGGTGGAGGGGTGCCCCTCTGCAGGTTAGTAGTCAGCGCTGCACTGAGGGCATGAGCCAGGGAGAGAGCAGGGAGGCTTCATCCCCAAAATAAGAGGCAAGAATGCCACTGTCACCGAGGGCTGGCCCAGCCACAGGCTCTGGGAGCCCCTTGGAGGGGTGATCCCCAGACTGTGGGAGCTTTGGTCTCTGGTCCCAGGTTGAGGAGAGCCCAAGGGGGCGATTTCCCCTTGAGGCCTCATAATCAGTACTTCCTCTGCCTTCCCCAGGCCAGTTCCAAGGACACGGGCCAGCTGTATGCCGCCCTGCACCACCGCATCCTCGCCCTGCGCAGCCGCGTGGAGCAGGAACAGGAGACCAGAACACCTGCCCCTGAGCCTGGTGCAGCCCCATCCAATGAGGATGACAGTGATGATGACGACGTCCTAGCTCCGTCAGGGGCCACAGGAGGCGGTGAGCCAGCAGTCCCTGCCCTGGAGGGCACAAGGGGGCTGGTTTCCTAGATCCCCTCTCACCCATTGCTGTTGGCCTGAGGGTGACATCTTGGTATGGAAGCCTGACCCTGGGGGATGGGGTGCCTTCCAGAGTGGGGACCTGATGGCGAGGCCACTGCTTCCCACAGGCGCTGACAACGAAGGGGACGGGCAAACGGCTGGGAGCACATAGCGCCGGGACCTGGCCACCCAGGAGCCTGCTGCTTTGTCCGTCTGTCCACCCATCTACCCGCCCGCCCCTCCCCGGCAGCGTCGAGGTGCGGGGCCTGGGAACCACACTCCCCGCTGGGTTGGCCACAGTCCGGATCCGCATGGCCCGTTCAGAAGCAGACTCGGGAACTGCCTGAATGTGGTTTGGGACACGAGACCTCATCATATTGATGAGCAAAACAAAAAGAACATTTCTTCCCTCCCCTCTTTGAATTGAAATGGCACATTAAGACTTGTCACGGCTTCTCACTGGGACTGGGGTGCCTGGTTTCTTCACCCCTCTCATGCCGCCGATACACCCGTGGGTTCCTGCCACCTGCCCAGGCTGCCAGGTCTGTTGCCACAAGTGTAAACACTGGCCCTGCTGGATGTTCTGCTAACTACTATCTTTATTCCCCCTTTCCCACCTTCTCATTAGGGGTGTATATTTTTAGATTTTTCCCCTAAGGCTTTGTGTTTGGTTTCTTAGATTAAGACACTCCTGTGTGTTGAGCAGGTGCAACTCCAACGTCCTCGTTCTCCCTGTGGTCACGGCTTGTGTGCTGGGGCCTTACTGAGGAGCTGGGGGTGCTCTGAGGGCCCCCACTTATTCCCCACCTGGAGTTCCTGCAGGCTGTCATGGGGTATTGAGGCCATACCTGGAGAGAGCTTATCTAGAAAAGGGTCACTAGATCTAGGAGAGCGCTCAGGGGCTGTTTCCTAGATCCCCTCTCACTCATTGCCATTGCCCCAAGGGTGACATCTTGGTACGGAGGCCTGACCCTGGGGGATGGGATGCCTTCCAGAGTGGGGACCTGATGGTGAGGCCACTGCTTCCCACAGGCGCTGATGGCGAAGGGGGTGGGCATACAGCTGGGAGCACATCGCGCCCCTCCCCTCCTGCTTGTCCCCATCATGTGGGTCACTCATCATCAGGTACCCAGGTACACACCTGCTTTCTGCTGATGGCCATTCTTTGCCCAGCCCTGGATGTTACCGCTCCCAAGACCATCCAGGGCCAGGGGCATCCATAACAGGCAGAGGGGATCCCTAGCAGGGCCTTTGAGGAGGGGCAGGGGACTGGTTCCAGACTACAGGCTGCCATCCCAACACTCGCAGTACGCACAGAAGCGGGTACTGTGCCCACCCTACTCCAAAGTAAGGCCAAGAGCCCATCTGGGTACTGCCCACCTGCAAAGAAGGTCCCCGTGAACAGGGCCCCCAAGGGATTTCAGAAGAAATTACCCAGCCCACTCTTATAGGGAGGGAGAAGGCCTGGTCTCCGCAGCTGTGCCACCCACACCTTGGGTCAACTCTTTGCAGCCAGAGCCTGAGCCATGGGAAGACACCAAAGCCCCTCCCCCTCCAGCAGATCTGGCCACACTTCTCTGCTTTAAGCCTTAGCCAACTAGTGACAAGTAAAACGAGATAATGCCCATGTGTTTTGGAACATTTATGTAAGATTGTCATATGAAATGTATTTGGGAACTACATTAAAACTTTTAACTAAACCCCTGGCCTCCTGCATGCCCCAGGGGCCTCAGGAATCCCAAGGGCCTAGCCAGGAATGACCTCTGCCTCCCAGGGCAAGGCTCTTCGAGCAGCCTGGCCTGCCTGCTGCTCTGGGCCCCTGCTCCACACTCCACGCCTGGACAGGGCAGTCTGCTGCTTTCCAAGACCTGCCACTTCAGTGCAGAGCCTCGCTTCACAGAAGAGCCATTTGCTTCCCATCCCCCACCCCCCACCACATTCTCAAACATCCCCACACACACACACCAGGGGCCTCCTGGCTTCCCAGGGACCACAAAGGAAGGGCAGGGGTGGGGGTGCTAACAAGATCAAGCATTCACTGAGCAGAACTGGGTTGGGGAGGGCATCTGCAGTGGCCTCATGAGGCCTGGGGGGCATTGTCCCACTTGGGCTGGTGGCCAGGGAAAGGCCTCAGACCTGGTCCAACCAGTTCTGCAGCTTCAATCCTCCCTGCTCCCCTCCAGCCCCCACCCCTGGGGCTGCCCAGCTGAAAGCTCAGGGTGTGCCATGGTAGAGTCCTCTATGCTACAGTGGTGCCAGCTGAGAGTGCACACTGCTCACAGTTGCCAGGCGTTGGTCATCATGGCAACAAACTCCTCATCTGTATCCACGGAGGCGCTCACGCCACTATAGTAATCCTGGAATTCAGCCAGGGTGACCTAGGGGCAGACAGGCTTTAAGTAGGGGTGGAAAGCTGGGGCAGGAAGAGCTGGGGTACCCCGTAGGCACCTACCTGCCCATCCTTCTCATTGGAATCAAAGTTGTCCAGGAAGCGGCGGAGCACCTCCTTCTCAGTCCATTCCCCACTCTGTATCTTGGGGTGGGCATGGCAGCTGTATACTCCCCGGAGGTCATCCACAGTCACCACACCATCTCCACTGCGGTCCAGCTTGGAGAATGCAGCTGCAATGACCGCCTCCCGGGCCTGGGACATCGGAGGCTAAAGGAGGGAGATTGGTGACTGAGGGACCCCAACCCCTCCAGGCATAGAGTGCAGGGGGTCCCTGATTCTCTTAGTGATGAATTCCTGGGTGTCTGGTGTCTGCTGACACAGGTAAGCCCACTGAGAATTCAACACAGCCGCCCCTACCCCCCAGTGCCGCCAGACAGCTGAGTAAAGGGACCTGCTTGCCCCTAGTCAGCCCCTCCTCACCCTCAGTGCCCTCAGGAACTCCTCCAGGTCTAGTGTCCCACTGCCGTCACGGTCCCATCTCCTGCACACGCCCTCTGCCTCAGCCATGTCCAACACCAGCCCCAGCTTAGCCAAACCCTGCTGGAGTTCCCTCGCATCCAGGGATCGGCTCCTGTCCTGGTCCAGGCGGCGGAAAAACCTGGGGGCAGGGGTTGCAGTTGGAGAACAGTCCCTGGGACTGAATAGTCAGGAAGGGGTGAGGGGACAGCTCACCTGGCCAGGCCCTGGATGCCAGAGGCCCCTCGGGACAGGCACTGTTCCCGGAGCTTCTCCACAGTGGCATCCACCGCATCCATGTTAGGTCCAGGCTTTCTGGGCAGCTGGGTGAGAGAGAGGTCAAGTGGGTTTCCTGCTCAGCCAGCCAGACTACAAGCCGGGTGCCCCCTACTCACTCAACTCGCCTTGTCTGTCCTGGAGTCCTCCAGATGGTCACTCCACTGGTTCCTGCCTGCTTTGTCCAGTGTTGGCAGTGTGTCTTGCCTGGTTGGTTTGTTGCTAAGGGACAGTGGCTCTGGAGACTGGGAGGGGCCCTGGCTGTAACCCTGATTGTGCTGAATAGCAGGGCCAGGAGGGACAGAGCAGTGCTGTCATTGGCACCCCTGCCCACCCACTGTGCTGCTTACTCTCAACCCTGCAATGCTCAGGCCTGGGATAGAGCCAGGCCCAGACCAGGGTGTAGGTTGGGGGTTTCTTTCTGGCCACAATGAGGAAGGGCAGGCCCCAGCCCTGAAGGGATCACAGTGTCTTGAATGGAGAGAGGCTCAAGGTCCAATTCCTATGTGACCTGAGGCAGGGCCCCTCTCCACTCTGGCCTTCACTGGCCCCCTACCCCTTTTCACAGGGCTGCAGCCAAAGCTGCTGAGGGGTTTTGAGGTTAAAAGGACTGGAGGTGGTCTAGGGTCAGGTTCAATGGGAGGTCCTGAGACCAGTGCTAGCTGAGCCAGGTCACAGCAGAGTTAAGTCGGTCAAAGTAGTTCCTGGCAGTTATTGAGGGGCCAGTCATGGTGTTTTTGTTGTATGGGTCTTTTGGTAGTTGGTTTACAGTTCTCAAACATCACTTGGTGGGCTTTTTCATGACAAGCTGGTGAGCCAGGGGGTTGCAGTACCAAACAATGGACCTGCTGTAATCCAAGAGGAACCAAGGGCACCATCAGAGAAGGCCTTCAGTCCAGATTTTGGGCATCTTTGCCAACAGAGCATTACACCAACCAACAGGATCAAAAAGGATGTTGAGCCCTGGCCAGGGTGCTCAGTGGTTAGAGTGTCAGCACGCGCACCAAAGGGTCACAGGTTCAATTCCTGGTCAAGGGCAAGTACCTAGGTTTCAGGTTTGCTCCCCACCCCCTAGTCAATGTGTGTCTCTCACATTGATGTTTCTCTCTCTCTCCCCCACACCCCCATTCTCTGAAAAACAATGGAAAAAACATATGAGAATTAACAAAAACATTGGATTTCCCAGGACTTAAAATGTGGGCCCTCACTCTGGCTGGTGTGGCTCTGTGGTTAGAGTCAGCCCACAAACTGAAGGGTCATGGGTTTGATTCCTGGTTAAGGGCACATACCTTGGTTGCAGGTTCATTTCTGGACCCAGTCGGGGTGTGTACAGGAAGCAGCCAATCAACATGTCTCTTTCACATGATGTTTCTCTCCCCCTCCCTCCCTCCATTCCACCCTCAAAAAAAAAAAGTCATTGGAAAAAATATCCTCAGGTGAGGATTAACAAAAACGTGGGCCCCCTTTGGGGACCTCCCGTCCTTGCACACAGCACAATGGTGTGTAGTCAGGAATTCCTGACCCAGCGTTGCAATTCAAGCCACAGCTGATGTTACACTGTCAGCTCTGAGAATCTAGTGACATTCTGCTGCACAAATTCCAATGGCTTGCTGCAGTCCAAAATTCTTTGGGTAGTCAGAGAAATACTGCATTGTGTTTTTTAATGAGTGTTACATCGCTTTTTCCCTGTGGAAAATGTAAAATCTATCCACAATTGTAGCTGTTTGACATCTTTAAGAGAATCAGAATTTCAACAATAACTTCCAAAACTGGTAGTAGCCCAGACCCTCCTGACCCAGAGGCCTTTTCACTTCACCTCTTAGCCTCTTTCCCAGCTGTGAAATGGGGCAAGCCTGTGTCCATAGGTGGTTGCAAAGATTAGTGTGTGTGTGTGTTTGTGTAGAGTGCCTGTGGCACAAGCTCCTGTAACTGTAACAAGCCCCCGCCCAGCAGGGCCCCACCCTAGACCAGGAACTGCACAGATGTCACCTCTCCAGCCCCCCACACCTGGAAAAAAGGAGGAAGGACCAAGGCTGACAAATCACCCCATTTATTGAGCTCACACAGGCCCCAGCCTGCCTCCCCTCATACAAACAGCCCCCCTTCCTTATTCACCCAGAGGAGAAAATGGGGATATTGTTATACACTGAAGGGTCAGTGTTAGATACCAGGCAGACAACAGGCACCATCCTGAGGTCTGGGGATGGGTGGCAACCTTTCCAGCTGGAACAGGCCCTGCCCCACAACGGTTCCTGGTATGACAATTTCCTGAGTAAGGAGGCAGCGGGAAACAGCTCAGGCTGGGCTGAGAAGAGTACAGGGTTCCCTGGTTTGAGAAAACAAAACTCCCTGAATGGCTCTGGCCAAGAGGGCAGTGTAGAAAAAAGGAGTTAAAAAATAGATTCTCTAGGGACTATAAAAAAGGAGCCAGCTGCTTACTACAAAAGCTGGACTAAGTGTGGAGGGGAGGTCATCAGTGCTGGAGACCCGACTCCCTTCAGGGCCCACAGACCATCCTGCTCCTTCTGGGGTCTCAGGGTGTAGCAAGTACTGGTGACAGAACAAAAACCCTGCCGTCATGGAGTTTACATTCTGATGGTAAGTTCCATAAAGAAAAAGTAAATGTAATGGTAACAGCAAGGGGCGGGGAGGAAGGCAGTCAGGGAAGGCCTTTCTGAGGAGGTGACATTTGAGCAAAGACCTGAGTGACAAGAAACCAATCATAGGACACCTGGAGGAAGTGCATTCTAGGCAGAGGGAGCAGCCAGTGTAAAGGCCTTAAGGCAACATGTTATCAAGAAAAGGCTAAAGGATGCCTGAGTTTTCCTGGGCAGTACAGCCTGGCTGCCACCATCTCACATGCCCCACACGCACTGCCTTCTGAGTCAGAGGTTGAGGGAAGGACGGGAGAAATATCTAGGATTAAAAATTTGTCTTCAAAATAATTAATACAAACAGCATGAAGCTTGAAGTTCTTAATTCTGGTCTGGGGGCTGGTGTGGCTCTGCTGGAGCATCCTGTACATTGAAAAGTCGCAGGTTCAAGTTCCTGTCTGGACACATACCTAGGTGGTGTGGATTTGATCCCCAGTCAGGGTGTGTACGGGAAGGCAACTGATCGATGTTTTTCTCTCCCTTTCCCTCTCTCTAGAAAATCAGTAGGCATGTCCTTGGGTGAGGATTAAAAATAATAAAAATAATTCAGGCCTGGGATGTAGTAAGAAAAAGCTCTAGCCTGGGATGGAGGATGCTTAAGGATGAACAAAAATCTGAACGGGAAGAAAGGGGGACAAGACAGTCGAATAATCTGGAACTGGATGCCACCTGCCTCCACCAGAGAGAGATCTCAAACTCATGCTTTGGGGCCTGGACATCTGGCCCTAAGAGAGATGAGGGGGCTAATTAAAAACTCACACCCCAGCCCGGCTGGGCGTGGCTCAGCGGTTGAGCGTCAACCTAGGATGCAGGTGATCGGGGTTCAATTCCCAGTCAGGGCACATGCCCGGGTTGTGGACTCGATCAATAACCTCTCATCATTGATGTTTCTCTCTCTCTGTCTCCCTCTCCTTTCCTCTCTCTGAAATCAATAAAGATACATTTTAAAAAAAAAAACTCACACTCTGGCTGAAGAAGGTATTCTGGGTTCAGATCCAAGCAGGTATGGCCAGGTCTGAAGCCAGAAATCCAGATTTTTGTGTGTAAACATTGCCACTTTTTCAAGAAGGATAATTGATTCAAAATTTTGTTTTTAAAAAAATTCTGTCTGGGCTGAACATTTTCATTTGGCCTGCAGGCTGACCATTTGAAACCTATGACTTTTTAGCAGGTCTGATGCTTGGAAAGGATTATGCCTCTGCCACCTCCCCTCTGGGACACTGGTGAAACCCCTCCCCACCCTTAAGGATGTCCACAGCAATGGAAAAATTCTCCACAGGCACCCTCTGTCTCCATTCTGAAATCTGTGCTCTGGGGCTCACACAGTGGTCCCAAACACTGCTGGCTGGAGTTGATCCCTGTCCCCCTCCTCCCCAATGCTGTTGGCAAGGAGTAAACTGGGCCCACCAGAGAGTGGGTGGCCAGCATCACTGGCTGGCAGGGGACCTAGGCGCTCAGCCTCAGCCAGGGCTGCCAGCAGCCCAGCCAGGGGTGGTCGCCGGCGGCATATGTCCTGCAGCAGCTCGGCCCGGGGCTGCAGCTGCCTGATGAGCTTGTCCTTCTGGTGCACGGCAGCCTGCAGGCTGTGGACAGTGGCCTCGGAGGTCAGCAGCTGCTCCTGGAGAGTGGCAATCTCGCTGGCAGGAAGACAAAACTTGGTAGTAATGGTACTGGAGGACCAGAGGTGCTCCTCTCCCTACTCCTGATCTCTGAGGCTCCCCATCATCAGAATAAAGGACATGCTTCTCATCACTGCCTCAAGGCTTCCCCTTGTTAGAGACTGAATGGTTGTGTCCTTCCCAAATTTGTAAGTTGAATCCCTACATTCCAGTGTGATATTTGAAAGTGAGGGCCTTTGGAAGGTAAGGTTAGATGAGGTCACGAGGGTGGGATCCTCAGGATGGGATTAGTGCTCTTATAAGGAGAGACACCAGACAGCTTGCTCACTCTCTCTGTCCTGTAAGGACCAGGAACTAAATTTGCCAGTACTTTGATCTTGGACTTCAGAGCCTCCATAAGTGTCTGTTGTTTAAGCTACCCAGCCTGAACAAGCTCATGGCTCTCCCTAGTTCTTCCTGCAGTTCTCTCTCTTCTACATCTTTTCCTATTTGTTGTTCAGCTTAGATGGCTCCTCCTCCAGGAAGCCTTCCCTCTTGGTACCCTCAGAACCTTGTGTACACCTCCATCACAACAACCCCAAATCACCCCATGTTGTAATTGCCTAGTGATGTGTCTGCCTAAGGACAGAGCTGCGTAGATGTGCCCTAGTACCCAGGACAGTGTCTGGCACAGAGTAGGTGCTTAGTAAAGATGAGGCGCTTAATCCAACCACCTCTGAATTGTTTCCCACCTGGGCCCCAGTACCTCCCCCTGGGCACTTGCCTCATCCCTTTCAATTCTCAGCTGCTAGAGGGACTCTTCAAAAACTTCTGATAGACCACATCCTCCTCTGTTCAAGAACCTGCCATGATCTACTAAAGGAAGTCGGTGGATCCTGCACCACTCAGTACCAGCTGATTTTACCTTGTGGGACACTTTTAAGTTAAAAATCCACACTTGTGTAACATCTCTTTACATGCTGATGACTAATTCAAGTTCTTTGGTGTTTGTTTTTTCAATCCCTCCAGTAGTCCAGCCTCCACGTAAGTGAATTCGGTTCCCCGTGCCAGGGCTCCCTTTCCAATCTCGGCTCCGCCTCCGCCCACCTCCTCCTAGAAGTTCACCTGGCGGGCCCCGGGCCTCACCGGTCCTTAGCGCGGCCCAGCTCGTCCAGGGCGGCGCGCAGCTGCTGGTCTTGGTGGGCCAGGCGCTCGGCCTGGATGCGCACCGTGCGCTCCGCCGCGTCCAGCCGCGCCTCCAGCTCAGCC